AGCGTGCGTGTGCCTCCCGAGCGGTGTGAGTGAGTGTGCATGCGCCGACCGAGGGCTCGGGGCGAGTGTGTGTGCATCTGATGAAGGGTGTGAGTTTGTGTGTGTGCGCAGAGAAGTTGTGAGCGTTGTGTGCGCCCCACAGAAGGCTGTGAGTGCGGTGTGCACCTGCCGGGTTGTGTGTGTGCACTGGGGTGTTGTGTGTGCGCGCACGTCGACAGTGGGGGTGTAAGGATGTGTGTGCACCTAACAGAGAGGTTGTCAGATGGTGAGGGTTTGTGCACCTAACGGGTTGTGTGTGTTTTCCCGACTGGCCGCGAATTTGTGTTGTATATAGAGGTTTGTGCGTATCTGACGGATAGAGTGGAGTGTGTGTGCATGAGCCTGCAGAGAGGTTGCGTGTCTGTTCACTCCTGAGAGTCTGTGTGTGTATGATTGTGTGCCTATACCACCCAACTGGCAAATTAAATGTGTTATGCCTTGCTACTGAGAGGATGCATATGTGTGTGTACTCACATAGAGAGGCTATGCACGTGTCTGTGTTCCTAATCGTGAACCCGTGTGCACCAGACAGTGAGGCCATGTGTCTGTGTATGTTTAGTTGGTTGTGCAAGTACTGGAGTGTATGGGGGAAAGGAGGGACCGTGCTGAGCCACCCTGGCTTCCCCCTTTCCCACTCTTAGCTGTCTCTGGGCCACAGGCCTTTTGGGAAGACCTACAAGACCTGGCCCTTTTAGGGCCCAACTCTCACTAGCCCTTGGGGAGCCTTTATGGTGCCAGGAGCCCCCTCCCAGGGAGCTGGTCAAGGGGTTGGCCAGCAGTGTGCTGCTGTTCTTGGTTTGATTTTGGCACATTTGGACCCCAACCCCCATCTTCTGTTTCCTTCTTGCTCTTCTTTTTCTTGGTGTCTCTGCGGGGGTCAGAGACTTGGTGCCCTCCTTTCTTGCATGCCCTGCTTACTGTACCTCTGGCGTCTTGAGGCGTGGACAGACTGTTCTGAAGGGCCAGGGAATCTGGATTATTTTGTTTTGGTGGCTAAAGCTTGCCTCGCTCTCTTCCAGCCATGTGCCTTGCTAACAAACACCTGGTCAGAGGTCAGGTGCAGCCCACTAGGATCCCTGTCCCTCCTCCAGAGCTGACCTGGTCATGGCACACTTTGGGAATCAATCAGATTTCTCTCCAGGGACTGCCACCCTTGTTGTGCCAGGGGTGAGGTGTGCATACCCTACTAGGAGGCCGGGTGGGGCTGAGGGACCTCTCCCCAAGCAGAAGCCACTGGGCATGCCCACCAGGAAGATGGAAGGAACCACCACAGGTCTTCTCAGGTTGGGGATTTGTCAACCTATTTGCACTTTTTTTTAAAGACTGCAAACGTTGCATGTGTTTATAGACGTTTCTTATATGTAAAATAAGGAATTTAAATGCTCTCACATTTTTCTGTGCCTTACAAATGACCTAAAAATTTCTGCAAGAGGATGCTCCAAGTGAATACCTGTCTCCCTGGTGCCTAAGTGGGCAGAGCCTCAGTGGTGGGGCCTTCCTGCCATAGGGGCTATCAGTTCTTGGGGCCCTGGCCCCATGTACCTCCTCAGGGAGGGTTTGGTTGGAGGCGTCAAGGCGGTTTGCTGCCTGTGCAACTTACCAGCTGTGGATTGAGTGCTTTGTGTGATGCTTTGCCAGAGAGAATCCACAGCTCTTGTTCGGAGAGGTGTGGCATGAAGCAGGGAAATATTTGTCAATGCCTCGACCTGCTGCTGCCCCCACCTGACTCTAGGAGCCGGAGCTTTGCCAACTTTTCCTTTTTTTCCTCTAGCTGCTAGGATTTTTAAAGCAAAGAATCAATCTATCCAAAATCCAAACCATGTGCAAGTACTCAAGGAAGGTGCTTGTTCTATTCAACTTGTTTACGTTGTTTTTTGTGACAAACTTTAACAGCCTATTTTGTTTATTTTCCAGTGTCAGATTGGCTGTTTGTTAACTGATTAGGAGAATTCCTTACCTGCTGCACTGGGGTGAGGTGGCTGGCCAGTGCTTCTTGCTGAAGCATTGAAATCCTAGTCAACTTAGGTTTTCACTTTAAACAACGGAAATAATTTTAGTTGCCTATAGTGCGGCAATTAACTTTAGAGCCAGATTTTGGAACAGTGCCTTCAGATTCATAAACCACTAAACAGGTTGAGCGATATTTTTTTCTTTCTTTCTTTCTTTCTTTTTTTTGTGTGTGTGTGTGTTGGCGTCTCATTCCTTTGCCCAGGCTGGAGTGCAGTGGCATGCACACTCAGGCCACCCCAGCGTCGACCTTTTGGGCTCCCAGCGATCCTTCCACCTCAGCCTTCTTAGTAGCTGGAACTACAGATGCACGCGACCATGCCCAGCTAATTTTTTTTTTTTTTTTTTTGTAGAGACGAGGTCTCGCCAAGTTGCCCGGACTAGACTCGCACCTGCGGGCTCAGGCAATCCACTTGCCTCGGCCTCCCAAAGTGCTGGGATTACTGGCTGAGCCACTGAACCCGGCCCAGCGATGTTTCTAGTTTAAGCATATTGATGTCTTCAGATAGGCACATAAAATTATGTTAAAACATATTTTGCATAATTTTAATTTGAGGTAAACACTTAATTGTTTTGTTTTTAAAATATTGGACCCAGAATGTTTTAAGTTTTTGTGATACGAAAGACACCATTGTTTTTAAATCTTTACTTTCATTATTTATTCTGTAAAATGGGAATAATAATGACCACCTCTTGAGTTTGACATGAGGGTTCGAAGAGATGATGTATATAAAGGACTTTGCCTGTCCCTCACCATGTCACTATTCCATAACCTTTCTTTAGGTGTAGATTTACAAAGGAAGTACTAGGCATGGGCTGTGGTGTTTTGCATGAGTCGAATTATGTCTTGACACATTGCCATGTGATGGTGTACAACTCAAAATGACTGTCACTGTCAGCCTGACCTGTCACGGATGGCTTATTTCTTACAGTTGTGTTTGATTTGGTTGACAGTGTCAAGATAAAGAGACAAATTTTCCCAAAAGTGTAACTCAGCCTATTTTGTGATCTGTACATTTCCTTTTACAAATCAACAAAATGTCAGCCAGTACAGTAGAAAAGTGGATAAGAGATAGGAACAAGAAAGTCATAGAAGAGGAAATCTGAATGGTCAATACATGGATGAAATGATACTCAACTCCACGTGAAACATTTTCTTGCTCCAGTGTGGTTAGACATTTAAATGACTGCCAGCCGGGCTCAGTGGCTCAGCCTGTAATCCCGTGCTTTGGGAGGCTGAGGTGAGTG